GAGGGAAGGTAGTTCTTACAATAAAAGGCCTATTGACTAGCACTTTGTCTATTATAGTATAAAGGTTAGGAACCACAAGATGTAGAGGATCAACTATGTCATTTATTGTTTTTAAGTCCTGGAGCAAATTCCATCTACCACTGGGTTATTTTACAACTTGGAAGTCCGCATGCAAGGCAGAGGTGAAGTAAGGAACTGCTTATGAGGTTTTACGTCAATTCCAACAACTAAGAAATAGTGAGAAGAATTAGGACCTTAGAAGGCTTTTAGGACCAAATAGTAGGCTCTTGTGTCCAGGAGAAAATGAATATACTTACCAGTAGTGTTGATGCTCACCCACAGCTCTTCTGGGAGGATCTAAATCATTGAAGCGTCCTCCTTTGTTTCCAGTGATTGTTTCTTTAAAGGCTCCATTTATCTAGTGTCAATCTCCATCCTGTTATTTCTTTTTGTAACATATTAATCATAGCTATTTTAAAAGCTAGTAACCATAATGTCTAGATATGTGTGCATCTGTTTATATTGTCTTTTTAAAAATTTTGTTAGGTTATTCCTTATTATTGGCATATTCGGTAACTATTGATGGAATATCAGGCCTATGTACAAAAAAAAACTTAGAAAGGCTCCTCCATAAAAATATTTTGGGAGGAAGGGCATGTATAGTTTTTTTTCCTTTTACACAAGTAGGCAGAACATAGAAAGATGTTCTAACCAGGGATTGAGAATGTAGTGCAAAGGTATGTTTCAGGCTTTGTGAGGGGTATTTCTAGTTTATATTTACTCCTGAGGTGTAGTTCATCAAGGGTCTCTACTGATGTCCAGGATATTTTCCAGGATCACTCCTTGTCATTTAATTCTTTCCAGTAGGATTAAACTGCCAACAATTTCTGCATAGACCCTCTGTCCCTTAACAGCTTTCTGTTTGTCTTCTTGCCCAAGTTCCCTTTCTCCTTCTCTCTCATTGCCTTCTAGCTATAATAATTTCATAACTGACCCTCCAGCAGATTTTCAAGGCCTATATCACACTGGAGGAGCATGCAAGTAGCTGGTGGTGGATCTGAGCTGCAGGAGAGTCACTTCCTTTGGATTAGCAGCACAACAATCTACTGATCTACAGAGCTCTCTACGCACAGGTTATTGTGTAGCATACTGTTCAGTCAGAACCGACTCACAGATGACCCACCAGCGGGTTCTCACCCTCCAACGGGTTTTCAGAGCAAGTTGCACAGGAGGAGATTGTCCTTCTTTCTCCCATGGAGCTGCTGGTGGATTTGGACCACATACTTTTGGGTTGCTAGTACAACTTCTTGCCACTAAGCCACCAGAGCTCTCTTATACATAGGTTAGGAAATAACAATTACTTTGAGGGGAACTGAAATATACAAATATTGACTTACTTTTTTGTGATTGCCTATTGTCTGGGATCTTAGTGCTAGCTAAACTTATTTAATTAATGTCCATTTGTTTCCAAAGAAAATTTCAGCACACCAAGACCACCATAAGCTCCAAGCTACCACTTTCTACTTGGCTTCTATCACTCTTGACACAAATCACCTATTTCCTTCCTAAGAAAAGTGGTTGAAAATATGGAACTCATATCAATGTGTTCCCATTCTTCCAAGGCTCTTGGACTCTCAAACTTTGGTTGACTTGCCCTCCAACTTGGGCTTGCTTGCTTGCTTTTTAAAAATACCCAGCTTTTACAGTTCTCTGTGGGAGAGTTAGTTTGTTCAACACGCTCTATTTCATCATAATTGGAAGCTTATATAATTTAAAAAAATCATCATGATAGAAATTTCCTTTAAACAAATGGGATTTAATTTTTGAAATCTTCAGATATTAACTGGTTGGAGGTCGTCCCCCCCAAATGCATACCTTTTCAATCTGTAGGCAGAACAGATCATCCGAGACGCTGGGCTGTATGAGGAGGAAAGTGGCATCAGGACTGGTGGAAGAGTCATCAACAACCTGTGTTATGCAGATGACACACCCTGCTTGTTGAAACTGAGGAGGACCCAAAGCACTTGCTGCAGAAGGTCAAGGACTGCAGCCTTCAATATGGATTGAAGCTCAACATCAAGAAAACAAAGATTCTCACCACTGGGCGAATTGGCAGCATCAGTATGGATGGTGAAGAGATTGAGATAGTTAAAAGTTTTAGTTTGCTTGGCTCCACAGTCAACATTCTTAATAACAGCAGTCAGGAAATCAAGAGATGAATTGCATTGGGAAAGTCAGCTGTGAGAGATGTCTCAAGAGTACTTAAGAGCAACGATGCCAGGCTGGAGACTAAGGTGCGCCTGATCCGGGCTATAGTCTTTGCAATTACGTGCTATGCATCAGAGAGTTGGAGAGTGACTAGGGATGACAGAGAATCGATGCCTTTGAGCTGTGGTGCTGGAGAAGAGTGTTGAATATACCATGGACTGCTAGGAGAACAAACAGGTTTGTCCTGGAGAGGGTGAAGCCAGAATGTTCCTTGGAGTCAAGGATTCTGAAGCTTCGTCTGACATACTTCGGGCATGTTGCAAGGAAGGATCAGTCCTTGGAGAGGGACATCACGTTTGGGAGAGTGGAAGGATGGAGCAGGAAAGGAAGACCCTTGATGAAAGGGATCAATTCTGTGATTGGGGTGGTGGGAGTGTGTCGGAGACCATGAGGTTGGCACAGGGTAGAGCTGGGTTTAGGGCTCTTGTACATACGGCCGCTATGAGTCGCAAGCAACTCAATGGCACATAACAACAACAATCAGAAATGTTTATACAACTTATTTTATTCAGTCTAGACCAGGAAGAATGTTGACAGAATAAGATGTTGACCTATCAACCTAAGAATATCAGCTCTAGAGACCGACAGGAATTGGTGAAACATGTCACAAAGAATAGAGTGTAGAAAGTGAAAAAGGAAGTTATTTACCTGGGTTTTGGTTGATGCATCCCTTTTCCTCTCTCTTGTGTTTCTCTTTTCTCTCTTATTTACCCCAAGAATGGGAGAGACTGAGGTTTCCTTGTTATAGGTGAGGTAAGGCCAAGATAAAGGACTTACCTGTATTTCAAGGGTCCAAGAGCTCAGGAAGACAGAAACACATTGGCATGAATTCTAAGTTCTCACCAACATTTTCCTCCTGGAGTATTGATGATTTGTGTCTAGGTGTATAGAAAATCAAACAGAAGTGGCACATGAATAGTCACATAGGCCCTAAATATTATTTATTATTTACTACCTAGAGCTGTTTACTGGTACAAATAGAATGGAATTTAAGAGCATAGTAGCTGGAGCTGGATTGTCTGAGGTCAAATGTGGCCTCTGTCACCTACTCACTATGCAATCATAGACAAACTTAGTAATTTACCAGTGTCTCAGTTTCTTCTTCTGTAAAATGGGGATGCTAATAGCATTCACACGTATAGAGTTGCTAGGACTAAAGGAGTATTTGCTAAGGAATTGATTCAAGGACTTAATGCAAAGCTTGGGCACATAGTAAGTGCTATGTGTTTGCTAAGTAAGAGTGGAGGACACCTAGTAGCATGTGTTATGTCCTTTCTGACCTCAGTTGTAGGTGTTGTCATTGTATCCTTCTCTGGAGGGCAGGACCTAGTCTTAGTATGTTTTGGTTTTATTAAGAATCTTCTGCCCCTGTGGAACGGGAATGTGATGGGGGTGTACGTAATGTAATTGCACTTTAGAATAATCTCCACAGGGCCAATTATCGGTTGTGTGTATCGAGCAAGAGGGGCTCTTTCTTACTTATTTCCAGGCATAGAAAGTGTGATCGCGGTCCAGTGCATTATAAAAGGTATCAAATACCGACGATGGGATCAGGTTCTTCTGTCTATTCATTGCATTTGAGGTGGACCTCTGTCGACCTCGGGGTACCGAGGTCCGTGGACTGGGAGATGCGGTAGGAAGGGATGCTGCATGCCTCCAGCACTTAGTTGAGATCACGCCCCTCTACATCGTCCATGTAGGTGGGACTTAGCTCTTGGCGTTCTTGAAAGCCTTCGGGGCCAGCGCGCAGGGAACCGCATGCACGAGTGTGTGTAGTAGGAGAGAAGCGTACACCTCCTCCGGGCAGCGACAACTGCGAGCTCGGTGTGTGTCGTAGGAGGTGTCGTTACACACTTCCTGTGGGTCTCGTAGACCACGGCGCGTTTCCGGTGGCGGCTGG